TTCGGTTTCCAAGTCGACTTTTTAAAATTTCTCAAAAATTATACTCCTATTTCTTTTGACGATTCTAGAAAAATTTTACAAATTTTCGATCAAATAAAACCAAAAACAACATCTGAAGATTGAAATAAATAAAAGAATGACTTTCGGTAATTTTTGGAAATGCTAAGAAAAGTCAAAATTTATTTAGTTTTCAAAAATTGAGCTTTTGTTAGAGTTGACAAAAAATTCTGAAATATAGATCTCGATGAGCTTAATCGAAAAACATGTTCATGCTCCCGGAGCAAAATTTACGAAATATTGGGTTCTACCTAAAATTTCTAAAAAATCTCAAAAGTGACTTAAAAAAAAGTTATTTCTTTATGCGATTGTGGAAAAATTCGAAGAAATATCAAAAAAATAAAACCAAAAATAACATCTGTAGATCGAAATCAATAAAGAGATCCCTTTTGCTAATTTTCGAAGATGCTTGGGAAAAGTCAAAAAATGTATATGGATTTTCAAAAATTGAGCTTTTGTTGAAATTAACAAAAAATTAACAAAAAATTCCGAGATGTAGATCTCGATGAGCTTAATCCAAAAACATAAGGTCTTGATGGTCCCAGACCAAGATTTTCGAAAAATTCGGTTTCAAAGTCGACATTTCAAAATTTCTTAAAAATTACATTTCTTTTGGCGGCTTTGCAAAAATTGTACAAATTTTCGAGAAAATAAAACCAAAAACAACATTTGGAGATCGAAATCGATAAAGAGATCCCTTTTGCTAATTTTCGAAAACGGTTGGGAAAAGTCATAAACATTTTATAAATTTTCAAAAATTTAGCTTTTGTTGAAGTTGACTAAAAATCCACAAAAAAATCTGAAATGTTGATCTCGACGAGCTCAATCAAAAAACACAAGGTCTAGATGGTCCCAGATCAAGATTTTCGAAACATTCGGTTTCAAAATTCAAAAATTACATTTCGTTTGGCGATTGCTGAAAAATTTTACGACTTTTCAACCAAATAAAACCAAAAACAACATCTGGAGATCGAAATCAATAAATGAATCCCTTTTGGTAATCTCGAACGTGCTTGAAAAAAGTCAAAAATTTGATACAGGTTTTCAAAAATTGCCATATTTCTTCCGTCGATTCTGGAAAAATTGTAAGAATTTTCAAAAAAATTGAATCCAAAACGATTTTTGGAAATCGAGATGAACAAAGGAGTCTCTTTTGATAATTTTTGAAAATGCTTGGGAAAAGTCAAAAATTTTATATGGGTTTTCAAAAATTGAACTTTCGTAAAAGTTGACAAAAAATTCTGAAATATTGATTTGGACGAGCTTAAAAAAACATGACAGGTTCATGGTTCCGGATCAAAATTTTCGAAATACTCGGTTTCGAGCTCGAATTTTCAAAATTTCTCAAAAATTACCATATTTATTTTGGCGATTGTGAAAAAATTGTACGCATTTTCGAAAAAACAAACAAAAACAACATCTGGAGATCGAAATCAATAAAGGAATCCCTTTTGGTAATCTCGAACGTGCTCGAAAAAAAGTCAAAAATTTGACACAGGTTCTCAAAAATTGCCATATTTCTCCCGTCGATTCTGGAAAAAAAGTTAGAATTTTCAAAAAAATTGAATCCAAAACGATTTCTGGTAATCGAGATGAACAAAGGAATCTCTTTTGGTAATTTTCGAAAATGCTTGGGAAAAGCCAAAAATTTTATATGGGTTTTCAAAAATTGAACTTTCGTAAAAGTTGACAAAAAATTCTGAAATATAGATTTCGACGAGCTTAAAAAAACATGACAGGTTCAAGGTTCCGGATCAAAATTTTCGAAATACTCGGTTTCGAGCTGGAATTTTCAAAATTTCTCAAAAATTACCATATTTCTTTTGGCGATTATGGAAAAATTGTACGCGTTTTCGAAAAAACAACCAAAAACAAGATCTGGAGATCGAAATCAATAAAGGAATCCCTTTTGCTAATCTCGAACGTGCTTGAAAAAAAGTCAAAAATTTGACACAGGTTTTCAAAAATTGCCATATTTCTTCCGTCGATTCTGGAAAAATTGTAAGAATTTTCAAAAAAATTGAATCCAAAACGATTTCTGGTAATCGAGATGAACAAAGGAATCTCTTTTGGTAATTTTCGAAAATGCTTGGGAAAAGCTAAAAATTTTATATGGGTTTTCAAAAATTGAACTTTCGTAAAAGTTGACAAAAAATTCTGAAATATAGATTTCGACGAGCTTAAAAAAACATGACAGGTTCAAGGTTCCGGATCAAAATTTTCGAAATACTCGGTTTCGAGCTGGAATTTTCAAAATTTCTCAAAAATTACCATATTTCTTTTGGCGATTATGGAAAAATTGTACGAATTTTCGAAAAAACAACCAAAAACAAGATCTGGAGATCGAAATCAATAAAGGAATCCCTTTTGGTAATTTCGAACGTGCTTGAAAAAAGTCAAAAATTTGACACAGGTTCTCAAAAATTGCCATATTTCTCCCGTCGATTCTGGAAAAAAAGTTAGAATTTTCAAAAAAATTGTATCCAAAACGATTTCTGGAAATCGAGATGAACAAAGGAATCTCTTTTGGTAATTTTCGAAAATGCTTGGGAAAAGCTAAAAATTTTATATGGGTTTTCAAAAATTGAACTTTCGTAAAAGTTGACAAAAAATTCTGAAATATAGATTTCGACGAGCTTAAAAAAACATGACAGGTTCAAGGTTCCGGATCAAAATTTTCGAAATACTCGGTTTCGAGCTCGAATTTTCAAAATTTCTCAAAAATTACCATATTTCTTTTGGCGATTATGGAAAAATTGTACGAATTTTCGAAAAAACAACCAAAAACAAGATCTGGAGATCGAAATCAATAAAGGAATCCCTTTTGGTAATCTCGAACGTGCTTGAAAAAAAGTCAAAAATTTGACACAGGTTCTCAAAAATTGCCATATTTCTCCCGTCGATTCTGGAAAAAAAGTTAGAATTTTCAAAAAAATTGAATCCAAAACGATTTCTGGAAATCGAGATGAACAAAGGAATCTCTTTTGGTAATTTTCGAAAATGCTTGGGAAAAGCTAAAAATTTTATATGGGTTTTCAAAAATTGAACTTTCGCAAAAGTTGACAAAAAATTCTGAAATATAGATTTCGACGAGCTTAAAAAAACATGACAGGTTCAAGGTTCCGGATCAAAATTTTCGAAATACTCGGTTTCGAGCTGGAATTTTCAAAATTTCTCAAAAATTACCATATTTCTTTTGGCGATTATGGAAAAATTGTACGAATTTTCGAAAAAACAACCAAAAACAAGATCTGGAGATCGAAATCAATAAAGGAATCCCTTTTGGTAATTTCGAACGTGCTTGAAAAAAGTCAAAATTTGATACAGGTTCTCAAAAATTGCCATTTTTCTTCCGTCGATTTTGCAAAAAATGTAAGAATTTTCAAAAAAATTGAATCCAAAACGATTTTTGGAAGAAATCGAGATGAACAAAGGAATTCTTTTGGTAATTTTCGAAAATGCTTGGGAAAAGTCAAAAATTTTATATGGGTTTCCAAAAATTGAGCTTTTGTTAAAGTTGACAAAAAATTCTGAAATACACATCTCGACGAGTTTAAAAAAACATGACGAGTTCATGGTTCCGTACCAAAATTTTCGAAATATTTGGTTTCGAAGTCGGATTTTTAAAATATGTACTAAACATGCAAAAAAATAAACTCAAACAAATTGGATGTTACCTATATGATCACTACACAAATTTTTGGATGCAGTACAGCTGTTTGTGAATCTACATTCTCTGTTTTAACCAGCATTTTAACCAAGTACCGTACTAATTTTTTGGACTTCGACAGGTTTTTACGAAAATTTAGCGTGAAAAATCGACGTTTCCAATTATTTTAATGTTCTTTCAAATATAAAAACTCAGACAAAATAAAGTAGTTATCTGAGTGTATTATTAAAATATAAATATTTACATGAAGCCCCCTCTGTCGACAAACTTGCCCCCCCTGAATAAGTTTTCTAGCTACGGGGCTGCAGGTGGATTTGTTAATAATAATAACAGAAAGAACTGAAAGAAGTGCGGATGAGTGAGTAGGTTTGAGTCAATTAGAAGGAGCGTTTGCTTCATCACGTCAAATGAAGTATACTGGGTGATTAAAAATAGTTTTGAGGATAGTCCTCAAAGAACAGTATACAACTTTAGAATAAGTGCAAAATTTGATTTTAAATTTCATCATTCCCACATAACCGTAGAAAAAATCAATGTTCGGTAATAGGAACCCGTCGGAAGCGTATTGGCACGTCTGTCAGGGGTGTTGTGAGGGCGCATTCAAATGCACCCCTTTACTTGATCGTTGTCGTACGCTGTCGCCTTGAGATGCAGGGGTGGAACCAATGAATATTATATTAACAAACTTCCCATCACGACGAATTTGTTTATTGTCACAACCACCAGACAATTACTCCCCATGCAGAGCGCGGTCTCGAGCACCCCAGCCACCGTGACTCTTCTTGTGTACCCACTTTCCTGGAAATCTTTTGTTTGGAGAAACTGTGCACAGAAATTCGAATTCTCTACTCCGTGACAACTAATAACTGACATTGACTCGTTATCGCACCTTAATCTCCTCAATAAACGACAAATCCGTCCCGTAAAAATTCCCTTTTTCTCTCCCTATCGATCCCGTCGCAGTACGTAAATTGCGGCAAAAGCAAAATGGAAAAATTATTATGAAAGGAGGAACAACGACAATTGGCAATTTGTCAGCAATTAAAACAAGAGATCATTAAATCAGTGGCGTTGGCGACTCGCTTTTGTTAGGTCACGTATGACCCCTTGTGTGAGGGTTGTCGGCCCCTCGGCTCTTATCTCCTCTTCGGCACGGCCTCCAGTGGCGTAGACGCTCTTTAGAATTTTTCATTTCAAACCCACCATAAAGTATTTACGATTATTATTTTTTTGCGATAAGATTTGATAAAACGCGGTTCTATCTAAATCCACGATGACTTTAAAACGTGTGGTTGTGGTGGTCCTTGCGCTTTATCTGTCCGTGGTGGTTGTGATAGTCTTCAGAATTTCATCAAGTGATGATGATAATCATCGGAACTACAGTGTTGTGGAAGTTGAAACGACCACAGGGTTGTACATTCCGGAAAATGTGGAAGAACTGATTGCGAAAGCGAATAGTGAACAACGAATCTACAATGAAAATTTGTACGGAGATACGATTGAGTTGGTTGTTGTTGTGCAAGTACGACTAAACAAAGTACGTTATAAATATTATTTTTTTAAATTTAGGTTCACAGGCGTCCACTATACTTACAACAACTGATCAACAGTCTCGAAAACACCCCCTCAATTAACAAAACTCTTTTAATTTTTTCGCACGACTGGGTTGACCCAAACATCACCCACATCGTTCAAAGCGTCAAATTTGCCAAAGTTTTACAAATTTTTTACCCATTTTCACTCCAAACTCACCCGGAGGACTTTCCAGGACCCGACGTCAACGACTGTGTGACCGAAGACGAGTAAGCAAAAATATTCAACCTGGATATTTTTATGAAGACAGATTTTTAGAAAACTGGTGCCCGAGTGCCCAAATTTCGACTTCCGGGACACTTACGGGAAGTTCAGGAACGCCTCCGTGGCACAAATCAAGCACCACTGGTGGTGGAAAGCCAACTTTGTTTTCAAAGAAGTGAAAATCCTCAACGATTACACGGGTTTGGTTTTGTTTGTCGAGGAGGATCATTACTTGGCGCCTGATTTTATTCACTGTTTGAGCTTGATGAGAAAAACTTGTAGGTATTATTGTCCCAACTGTTGGTTTTTGTCACTGGGTGTACGCAATAGAGTCAACTTTGGGTTATATTCTGACTGGGTAACACACAGGGGTTTTAAGTTCCCGAAAATAACTAAAAGTTTCAGGTTGGTATTCAAAACACTGTTGAGAATTCGGGTTTGGCTTTTAATCGAACTATTTGGAACGAGGTTTCCAAATATCGGGAAGATTTCTGCCAGTTCGATGACTATAATTGGGACTGGTCGTTGAAGAACGTGTTTCGAAATGTTCCTGGGGAAACGAGTTCGATGGTGATGGTGGCGTCCAGGGTGTACCATGTAGGGTCATGGTAAATTAATTGTTATATATTTGTGGTGGATTGTGAAGACCATTTTTCAGTGGGACGCACTCTGATGGTGAAATCTGTGATCCGACGGAACTAATCCAGGATTTTAAAAACCGCCAGACGAATTTATTTCCAGACTCGTTCTACGTTACGTTTGACAACAACCAAGAAATTGTTGATAGAAGTCGACCGAATGGGGGTTGGGGGGACCCTAGAGACCACGAATTATGCATGAAAATGTGAAATTACGTACTCAGTTTTTTATTTTTAAAAATTATAAAACTAACAATTTTTATCCAAGTCTTATTATTCGCACATTCTGAACCCGCAAGTAATGACACAGCAGTTGTCATCGTCACCTCCGACACCTGTCATTCGCTCCACACAAAACCCCGTCATTACCGCCTCCCAACTGCACCTAATAACCCATCCCGCCTAAATTCCACGCTTTCAAGTCTAAAATTGGCCAAGATTTTCCAGCGGGTGGTCCCGCAATCCAGAGATACCATAATTGAATTAATTGTGACTTTTCCAACGGACCTGCACACGTCTTAATTCTCTAGCCAAACTGACACCTCCAACAATGGGAGCGTTTAATGCCCAATGCAACGGCCTCGGGTCGTGTAAACACACCCTTAAGACCTGTCAACGAGGTTGACATCCATTGTCATCGCCAGCTAAACATCTTGCAGTCGGCCAGGCGAATACTCGCGCTGACCGACTGCATTTTAATGAAGGGATTTTCACGAGTCACGCACGCCGTGGGTGGTGGTTGGACCATGGGTGGTACCGTTGCTCAATGGAGGTGGCGCTATTAACGAGGAATTTCGTGCGGAGAATCTTACTACTGACATTGTCGGGGGTCGAGAGCACAAATTGATACCAGTGATGGTACTAGGTGGTAAATGGCGGTGGGCGGCTCGTTAGGAAGACGTGAAACGAGGGACGGCACGCCACTGGGTTATTAAGGAGCAATTAATTGTCGAAATGTCGGCTGTGATGAGGTGGATTATGTAAGGCTGGTATTACTGAATGGGTTTTAATTAGTGGCTGGGATTGCTGGGTGGCGTTGGCGATCTACACTCGTATTTGTACTACGACAAAAAATGATGGTTATAGTAGTAACTGTTGTGGTAAATGGGAGGTTTGAGGCGAGGTGCTTAACTACTCCGCGGAACGATTAAATCATCCAAGAACAAAGCGAAGTGACAGTAAATGTGATGGTTTTTTCAGAAACGGTTGTTGACCATAACACAAGTGAGGAAATACAAGATAAGTTGTAACACCAAGGACAGAAATTTAAAGAAGACAAAAGAATTTTTTTAATAAAAACTCTGGTTTGGTAAAAAATCAGAAATGAGCAACGAAGTTGACATTAAATCATAGTTCTCGAAGATGACCCCACAACACCCGAAATTGTGACTGGAAAAATCCAAGTCAAACCAAAAGAACCAGACACCTCTGAAGACAGTAGGTAAATTTAGTCGATTTTGCGGCCGCCGCTTTTAACAACACTGACGACGACAATCTGATTAGTAAAGACGACGAAGACGTGAAAAAGTATTTGGAAAGTGGCTTAAGTCACATTGATGGTCAATCAGACCACGACAACAAATACAAAGTCCACGAAGTTATCTCGGCCACGTCGCAAATCGTTGTTGGGTTCATCTATGGCATCCAAGCAAAAATAATTTTGTCGGACTGTAAAAAAACCTCTGCGACGTATAGAAACGTGCGATACACTAAAAAACGCTCAACCCAAGACTTGCAGTTTTGTCGTTTTCGAGACGCTTTTTGATGGTCGCCTAACCAACATAACGTGTGGTAGCGAATCATATGCGTACAACGAAAAACCAGAACCGAGAACTGCTAGAAACAAAAGACAAGCAGTCGGTGAAGAATATGAACCGTCTGGGGATCACGATCTGGTCGACGAGTACTTGGAAGACGGTTTGAGTCAATTGGATGCTCAGTCGTACCAGCCCCGTAGCTAGAAAACTTATTCAGGGGGGGCAAGTTTGTCGACAGAGGGGGCTTCATGTAAATATTTATATTTTAATAATACACTCAGATAACTACTTTATTTTTTCTGAGTTTTTATATTTGAAAGAACATTAAAATAATTGGAAACGTCGATTTTTCACGCTAAATTTTCGTAAAAACCTGTCGAAGTCCAAAAAATTAGTACGGTACTTGGTTAAAATGCTGGTTAAAACAGAGAATGTAGATTCACAAACAGCTGTACTGCATCCAAAAATTTGTGTAGTGATCATATAGGTAACATCCAATTTGTTTGAGTTTATTTTTTTGCATGTTTAGTACATATTTTAAAAATCCGACTTCGAAACCAAACATTTCGAAAATTTTGGTACGGAACCATGAACTCGTCATGTTTTTTTAAACTCGTCGAGATGTGTATTTCAGAATTTTTTGTCAACTTGAACAAAAGCTCAATTTTTGGAAACCCATATAAAATTTTTGACTTTTCCCAAGCATTTTCGAAAATTACCAAAAGAATTCCTTTGTTCATCTCGATTTCTTCCAAAAATCGTTTTGGATTCAATTTTTTTGAAAATTCTTACATTTTTTGCAGAATCGACGGAAGAAAAATGGCAATTTTTGAGAACCTGTATCAAATTTTTGACTTTTTTCAAGCACGTTCGAAATTACCAAAAGGGATTCCTTTATTGATTTCGATCTCCAGATCTTGTTTTTGGTTGTTTTTTCGAAAATTCGTACAATTTTTCCATAATCGCCAAAAGAAATACGGTAATTTTTGAGAAATTTTGAAAATTCCAGCTCGAAACCGAGTATTTCGAAAATTTTGATCCGGAACCTTGAACCTGTCATGTTTTTTTAAGCTCGTCGAAATCAATATTTCAGAATTTTTTGTCAACTTTTACGAAAGTTCAATTTTTGAAAACCCATATAAAATTTTTGACTTTTCCCAAGCATTTTTAAAAATTATCAAAAGAGACTCCTTTGTTCATCTCGATTTCCAGAAATCGTTTTGGATTCAATTTTTTTGAAAATTCTAACTTTTTTTCCAGAATCGACGGGAGAAATATGGCAATTTTTGAGAACCTGTGTCAAATTTTTGACTTTTTTTCAAGCACGTTCGAAATTACCAAAAGGGATTCCTTTATTGATTTCGATCTCCAGATGTTGTTTCGGGTTGTTTTTTCGAAAATGCGTACAATTTTTCCACAATCGCCAAAAGAAATATGGTAATTTTTGAGAAATTTTGAAAATTCGAGCTCGAAACCTAGTATTTCGAAAATTTTGATCCGGAACCATGAACCTGTCATGTTTTTTTAAGCTCGTCCAAATCAATATTTCAGAATTTTTTGTCAACTTTTACGAAAGTTCAATTTTTGAAAACCCATATAAAATTTTTGACTTTTCCCAAGCATTTTCAAAAATTATCAAAAGAGACTCCTTTGTTCATCTCGATTTCCAAAAATCGTTTTGGATTCAATTTTTTTGAAAATTCTTACAATTTTTCCAGAATCGACGGAAGAAATATGGCAATTTTTGAAAACTTGTATCAAATTTTTGACTTTTTTCAAGCACGTTCGAGATTACCAAAAGGGATTCCTTTATTGATTTCGATCTCCAGATGTTGTTTTTGGTTTTATTTGGTTGAAAAGTCGTAAAATTTTTCAGCAATCGCCAAACGAAATGTAATTTTTGAACTTTGAAACCGAATGTTTCGAAAATCTTGATCTGGGACCATCTAGACCTTGTGTTTTTTGATTGAGCTCGTCGAGATCAACATTTCAGATTTTTTTGTGGATTTTTAGTCAGCTTCAACAAAAGCTAAATTTTTGAAAATTTATAAAATGTTTATGACTTTTCCCAACCGTTTTCGAAAATTAGCAAAAGGGATCTCTTTATCGATTTTGATCTCCAAATGTTGTTTTTGGTTTTATTTTCTCGAAAATTTGTACAATTTTTGCAAAGCCGCCAAAAGAAATGTAATTTTTGAGAAATTTTGAAATGTCGACTTTGAAACCGAATTTTTCGAAAATCTTGGTCTGGGACCATCAAGACCTTATGTTTTTGGATTAAGCTCATCGAGATCTACATCTCGGAATTTTTTGTTGATTTTTTGTTAATTTCAACAAAAGCTCAATTTTTGAAAATCCATATACATTTTTTGACTTTTCCCAAGCATCTTCGAAAATTAGCAAAAGGGATCTCTTTATTGATTTCGATCTACAGATGTTATTTTTGGTTTTATTTTTTTGATATTTCGTCGAATTTTTCCACAATCGCATAAAGAAATAACTTTTTTTTAAGTCACTTTTGAGATTTTTTAGAAATTTTACGTAGAACCCAATATTTCATAAATTTTGCTCCGGGAGCATGAACATGTTTTTCGATTAAGCTCATCGAGATCTATATTTCAGAATTTTTTGTCAACTCTAACAAAAGCTCAATTTTTGAAAACTAAATAAATTTTGACTTTTCTTAGCATTTCCAAAAATTACTGAAAGTCATTCTTTTATTTATTTCAATCTTCAGATGTTGTTTTTGGTTTTATTTGATCGAAAATTTGTAAAATTTTTCTAGAATCGTCAAAAGAAATAGGAGTATAATTTTTGAGAAATTTTAAAAAGTCGACTTGGAAACCGAATAGCAGTAAGACCTTATGTTTTTTGACTAAACTCGTAGAGATCTACATCTCAGAATTTTTTGTAGATTTTCAGCCAATTTCAACAAAAGCTCAATTTTTGAAAATCTATAAAAAAAATTTGACTTTTCCCACGCATTTTCGAAAACTAGCAGAAGGGATCTTTTTATTGATTTCGATCTCCAAATGTTTTTTTTTTTGGTTTTATTTTTTCGAAAATTCGTACAATTTTTCCAGAGCCGCCAAAAGAAATGTAATTTTTGAGAAAGTTTGAAATGTCGACTTTGGAAGCGAATTTTTGAAAAATCTTGGTCTGGGACCATCAAGACCTTATGTTTTTTGATTAAGCTCATCGAGATCTACATCTCAGAATTTTTTGTCGATTTTTTGTCCATTTCAGTAAAACCTCAATTTTTAGAAAATCCATATAATATTTTTGACTTTTCTCAAGTACATAGTAGGCTATGGAATAAAATGTGACATGTTCATTTTTTTATACGGTCAACATCAACGGTAGGGTGATATTGCCAAATAATATACCCTGTACGAAAATAAAGGTGGGGCGGGTGGGGCCAGTTAATATGCTTCGGCAATCGGCATTATATTGAAATTTTATTACTAATTTGAAATTTATAATGTATAAGTCTTCCAGGGGGGGCAACCAAAACTGCTAGGGGGGGGCTCAGCCCCCTCTTGCCCCCCCGTAGCTACGGGGCTGAGTCGTACCAAGACAACAAGTACAAAGTTCACGAAGTACTTTCAGTCACTAAACAAATCGTCGCCGGACACATTTACAAGATCAAAGCGAAAGTCGTACTCACGGATTGCAAGAAAACACTGACGAGTCAAAGACGCACTTGTGGTGCTTTAAAAGGTGCACAACCGAGAATCTGCAACTTCAAAATTTACGAAGCTTTGTGGATTCCTAACAGTCGTCGCATCAACTTCATTTGCGAAGATGACGAAACGGATGCTTTGTTGGCGTACTCCAGAAATACCGAACTCCTCGGGAACGACGACACGAGGGTTCATTTCGCGCTGTTTAACCATTTCATCGCTAAGTACAATAAGAAATATAGTAAGAGAGAGTGCAAGTGTAGGTTTAAAGTTTTCAGCGACAATCTGTACCACATAAGGCGGCTAAATCGGTACGAGCAAGGTACCGCCATGTACGGCATAACGCAATTCACGGATATGACGCAGAAGGAGTTTTCCAAGTCGTTGGGTCTACGCATGGAATAAGTTATAAAAAATGCTTTAGCAAATATTTAATTGGAAAATGCATATTTCCCTACAGAAATGTACCATTTTAAACATGTTTTAAGTTATTGTCGCGAAAAGATGGCTACGTAGATTAAGAAACTAAAGAAAATATAAGCCCCGCCTACCCACCCCATCTCGATTGTAATGATTTTTTTAATACTTAAAACATGTTTTCGTGAAAAATTCATCACAAATGAGATCAGGATGGGTGAGTGGAGCTTTATTTTGCTTTTTTTTTGGTTTCTTTCAACACCACACTTAAAAACATGTTTTAGACAGTAAGTTCTAGCAGACAAATAAGGATTTTGCTATTAAACTCCGCCCCCGTGCTCACAACGAATAACATCATTACAGTTGATATGATGGTGGGTAGGCGGAGCTTAAATTTACACTTTTTCTGGATATACGCAATAATCACGACAAGATATATTTGAAGTGGTAATTATGTTCTTCTCTCGAGTGGGAATGGGAATGGAAACTAATAATTACGAGAATCTAGGATGTGAAAAAAGTAAGCCGAAAATCACTTCTGAATATTGAAATCTAGAAGAAAATGTATTCAACTAATTTTTGAAAATAGTTGAAAAATGGTCGAAAATGTTAAAAGCGCCAAAATCAGTCTTGTCTTATCAAATACTAGCCCCGCCCACCCACCCTCTATTTTCTTGTAGGATATGTCATTTGCCAAAAGCTGTCTTATCTTAGCAAATATTAGCCCCACTCGCCTACCCCTTCTTCTCATTCTAAAGACTAATTTTATTTCTGTTCAGTATAAGATCATTCCGCTCACTCAGAGCGGATAAAACCAATCACCGAAAAGGAGGCCGGGTGGGTGGGCGGGGCTAATTATGTTCTTCTGTCCAGCGAGTGTGGAAACTAATAGAATTTAGGATGTGAAAAAAGTAAAAAAAGCGCTATCATAACCTTTTTGTAGTCGAATACGTCAAAAGTGTCATAATCAGTCTTATCTTATCAAATACTAGCCCCACCCACCCACCCTCTATTTTTTTAAAGGTATGTGATTTGCCAAAATCTGTCTTATCTTAACAAATATTAGCCCCTTCCAACCACCCCCTCTTCTCATCCTAATGACTAATTTTATTTCTGTTAAGTAGAAGATCATTCCACCCACTCAGAGCGGATAAAACCAATCACCGAAATGGAGGCCGGGTGGGTGGGCGGGGCTAATTATCTTTTTCTGTCGAGTGAGAGTGGAAACTAATAGAATCTAGGAAGTGAAAAAAGTAAAAAAAGTGCTAATTGTAACTTTTTTTCTCGAATATGTCAAAAGTGCCAAAATCAGTTTTCCCATCAAATATTAGTAACCACTCGTCAATGTTTCTTTCAATCCTTATTTTCTATCAGTCCAGAGTCGATTGCGTCAAATTCATTCCTCTTTTCTTTAATTTAAGCATATCCACTTTTCAACAAAACTCTGCCGTTCTGCGTTCTGGATAGTGAAAAACTCTTGGGGAACAAGTTGGGGCGAACAAGGTTACTATAGAGTCTATAGGGGAGATGGTACTTGTGGATTTAACCAAACTCCTTCTAGTGCCATCGTAGTTTAAGTAGATTAAATAGTTCAGACATATCGCATATCAACGAATGTGATATTTTGTAATCTAGAAATCTCTGTACTTGCGAACGACAGTTATGTAAATATATAGTTGATCCTGTCATCGTGAGCTGCCCATGTCTCTCTCCAGTTTTTAAATTTTTTTCAAGCTTTGTTGCTTTATAGTTTTTTATATATTTTATTTTAGATGATTTTTTTATTAACCTTTGTTACCCAGTGGATGTCTTCTACTGTATAGAACAATTTTATTTTTGACTAACTAATAAGAGTACTCTAGGTGTTGTTACCAGTTTTGCAGTTTTAGAAGTAGGCATTTAATTTTTCCTGCTTCGTAGGTGGCAGTTTCTTTGCCGTTAAGCGCATCGTTGTTGTCAGACAGAGTTGAATAAGCTATAATCAAAGTTTTTATAATTTACCTACACGTTGAGAATGTTAGCAATAGTATAACAAATCGCCCGAAGTTCTTCTGGAAATTTGTCAGTGACAGAAAACAGAATAACGGCATTCCGTATGAAATGAAATTTCAAGAAGGATGTGCAAAGGGTGGTCAAGAAATTTCTAATTTATTCTCCAAATTTTTTTCATCCGTTTACGTCAATGTTAACTACTTAGTACATTATATTTTGCCTTTTTTTTTCTCCGTTTGACAAGGAATGAAAAATTCGTCACAATTGACATAGGGCGGGTGGGCGGGCTTAGATTTTGCATTTATTTTTTTCCCTTAATATAGGTATGTCATCTGCCAAAATCCGTCCTATCATGGCAAGTACTAACCCCGCCCACCCACCCTTTGTTTTTTTAGAAGGTATGTCATCTGCCAAAATCAGTTTCATCTTGCCAAGTACTAGCCCCACCCACCCACCCTTTATTTTCTTAGAAGGTATGTTATTTGCCAAAATCAGTTTTACCTTAGTAAGTCCAAACACTTAAAACATGTTTAAAATGGCAAATTTTTGTAGATAAATACCGATTTTGCAATTACGCTCCGCCTCTCAGTCTAACAACGAATGCAAAATTAGTCACAATTGAGATAGGGCGGGTGGGTGGGGCTTATATTTTACCTTTTTTTTTCTTAATGTCCGTAGCCTCTTTTTCAGAACAAGAAACTTAAAAGATGTTTGAAAAAGTAAATTTTTGTACAAAAATGGCGATTTTGCAATAACGTTCCGCCCATCTGTCTGACAAGAAATGAAAAATTCATCACAATTGAGATAGGGCGGGTGGGTGGGGGTTATATTTTGCATTTTTTTTTTTTTCTTAATGTCCGTAGTCTTCTTTCCAGAACAAGAAAGTTAAAACATGTTTAAGATGGTAAATTTTTGTACAGAACTATCCATTTTGCAATTACGCTCCGCCCCTCCGTCTGACAAGGGATGAAAAATTCTTCACAATTGAGATAGGGCGGGTGGGCGGGGTTTAGATTTTGCATTTTTTTTTCCTTAATATAGGTATGTCATCTGCTAAAATCCGTCTTATCTTGGCAAGTACTAGCCCCACCCACCCACCCTTTGTTTTCTTAGGAGGTATATGATCTGCCAAAATCAGTTTTATCTTGGCAAGTACTCGCCCCGCCCACCCGCCCGTTATCTTCTTAGAGAGTATGTCATCTGCCAAAATCAGTTTTATCTTGGCAAATACTAGCCTCACCCACCCACTCTTTATTTTCTTAGAGGGTATGTTATTTGCCAAAATCAGTTTTACCTTGGCAAGTACTAGCCCCGCCCACCCACCCTCACTTTTCTTACAGGGAAAGCCATCTGCCAAAATTAGTCTTATTTAAACAGGTATTAGCCCCGCCTACCCGCCCTCTCTTTTCTTAGAGGATATTTCATTTGCCAAATTCAGTATTATCTTACCAAGCTATCTTGTACATTCTTTTTTAATATACGAAATCTTTTCTTAACAAGAAACTGAGAACTTATTTAACAACCGTGTTGTTCCAATAAAACTCTATGTAACTAAAAAAAAGTCCCGATCTCAATTGTGATGAATTTTTTATTCGTTGTCAGACCAAGGGGCGCAGCGTAATTGCAAAATACATATTTCCCTACAAAAATTTTGAATATGTTTTAAGTTTCTTGTTGTGAAAAGAAGAGTACGTATATTCAGAAGAAAGGGTAAAATATAAACCCCACCCACCCACTCTGTCTCAATTGTAATGATTTTTTTTTATTTTTATTGCAAAATTTTACTATTTCAACAACAGATTTCACATGGTAATTTCTTGTAGAGAAATGAGGTTTTTGCAGCTAAGTTCCGCCCTCGGCTCACGATGAATAAAAAAATCATCACAACTGAGACGGGGTGGGTGGGCGGAGCTTATGTTTTTTCTTAATATACGAAGTTTTCTTTTCCCGATAAAACAATAAGAAACTGAAAACAAGTTTAACTTTTACGTTGTTCACTGTAAACTATATACCTATATTAAGGGAAAAAAAAAAGATTAAGCACGACCCATCCATACTAACGTGTATATTGATGTAGTACCTACTAAGATAAGAGTGATTTTGGCAAATGAGATATCCTCTATGAAAAGAGAGGGCGGGTGGGCGGGCCTAGTACGTGTTAAGATAAAGCTGAATTTGGCAAATGAGATACCCTCTAAGAAAAGAAAGGGCGGGTGGGCGGGGCTAGTACCTGCCGGGATTCCGAGTTGTTTCTTAAGAAATTGCGTCTTTACTATATCGTTACCTATTTTTTTTTTTTTTTTTTAATTAAAGCGTCCTTGTTAAATGTCGGTTTCCAAAGCTTTGGAAAAATAGTTATGTTACCCCCATATTTAAATCCGGTGGAGATCTTTAAAACAATTCAGTCTGTTAACGATTCATTGGGGTTACAACTTGATCTGGACTTGTTGTATGACAGACAATAACTTACTTTCTCTAAGTGTAGGAAAGTGTTTCATAATATCTTTTTCTAACATTATCATTACAGTTGTGGATTTTGATTATAAACTTGGTGGATTCTCTGTTCCTCGGTGGTCGAAATAAAGGATTTAGGGGTTACTTTTTATTGTAGACTTACTTTTAAAAACCACTGTAATTTTATTTTCACTAAAGCAATTGGGATGTTGGATTTTATTTGAAGACACTATCAAAATTTATTTATTACTGCTCTGAAGACATTGCATTTTTTCTCTTTATCGCTCACATCTGAATTATTGCTCACTAGCATGGTGTCCCTTTTATAAAAGTGATGATTTCCTTGGAAAATCAACGTAAGTTATTAAAATAAGTATTAGGAAAATTGTCTTTTTTTGTACCTCCATCCGGGAGCAGAATCACACCTAGTATATCAATCTTTAGGCTTCCAACATCGAGAACGAGCAGATCTAAGAATCATCCGATTACAAGAATGATGGTCACGTAAACGCGTCAAGTTAAAATTCTGCGTTAGGAATTTATTGTAAATTATAATTTATGTAATTATATTTGGTTATTTAATTATTTTGTGCGTTTTTTTTGTATTATTATATATAGCTTTATATTTTGTAAAAGGGGGTTTATTATTATTATTATTATTATTATTATTATAAAAAAACACTTAGAAACAGATGTCGCAAACTAAATTAATGACACAGTGGAGAAAATACTTCTTCTTTGGTTCCTCAAAGGCCATCTGGTCTTCCTCCTTCTCGATCTTCTTCACGACATTCTGTACCACACAAAAATTCCGTTTTTTTTTTTAATAAATGTGCCAAGAACGCAACCTCTGCATTGCGAACGTCAAATACTTACCTGAAATTTCTCGTAAAACCGAATCAAACCAAACAAACCGCGTTAAAAGCCCTGGAAATCCCCAGATCCCTCCCCCCTCCCCTCATCGCTGACATCATCACCCCGCAAATAAAACCTCAGAATCCTATTGCTTTATACATTTTTATTGAAGGATTTAAAAACACAGTTACATGACATGACGGTGCATATTCCATTAAACCCTAAAGAATCTGTACACAAGAGTGACTTTACTCCATCTCTACATTAATAAATATTACCTAATATTTACATAAAAACGGGCATTTATTTGTACAGTCAATAACAACAAATTGTACACCTAATGTACAGTCACGTCTTCTACGACTCGTGCACCTAAGTCCTGATTGCACCGATCGACTGGAAGGGGGAACACCCTGTATACGCTTTCGACAACCACCGGATTAGTAAGGAACAGGACGAAATAAAACTGAAAAAATCTATTCTCTTATGTTAAGTATCGTTCACTCGGGTCACTAAGTCACTACCACGCCCTCGTCTGCAGGGGCAGGTAAGTCCCGCACTGCTGCTGGTAGTTGTTCTGTTGCCGGTAAGCCATGGCCAGGCTGCCGTTGCCCATGCACTGGGCCTGCTGCTGGGGCTGGCACACGGGCGACTGCTGCGTGCGCGACGTCTCCGCCGACGTCGCCGAAGAGGGCTGCGAGCCGCCGGAGCCCCCGGAGCACGGCTTGCCGTCTTTGACGAGCACCGGGACGGCGACGCGGCGCGGGGAGCTGGAGGACTGCAACAAATTTCATTTTTACTGGTTATTCGTCTCCCCAATGTAGAGTAGATGTAATCGGCGTCATGATAATCGGCGTCATGATTCACTCCTGACAGCCCGCAATAAAACAAACATCAACTTCCGTCGGAAGCCGGCGAATGAAGAGATGTTAATCTGGCATCTGATTGAATTAACGATGATTGAGTGAGTCCGTCGCGAGCGATACGCCACCGCCATCTTGAGCCGCCATTTTTTAGCATGCGAGCGTCAATTTTTCCATCAACGGCCACTCGATCAAGCGTTAAATTCGGTTTGTTTTTGTTGGTAATGAGGCGACAATGGAAACAAATTGTGGAGGCCGCGCGTCCATCAATCAATAAAACACGGGAGAGAATTGGGCAAAAACTCGGTGGTGACCCCGTGTGCGTAGTTCAGGAGTGACGGTTTCGAGAGTGAAGGGCGAGGGTCGTGACGTGGCCACTTGAAACGGCGTGTGTTTTCGAGAGGTCTGCACGGAGTTTTATCGACGCCTGAACGTATATACGGGGCTTTGGTCGGGGGGATACTTCGCGGGGAGGATCGGAGGATGAATTAACGCGACTAACAGTTTACTTCGTTTTTTTTTGATACAATAACAGACACATAAAAAACGATATATGTAAATATTAAATAAGAGCATCTTTTTACTTTCAGAGAGTAAATTCAGTACGAAACAATAAGTTTGTCTGTCTGTCTGCAGTCTGAAACTACTGAACCAGTTGTTAAATTTGATATCTGTATTACCAATATCGAGTAGGTACATGATCAAAATTTGGCTAATCATCGCTACCAACAATTTGTTGACGTCATGTCCAAAATTTACAGTAGTAAATATTAATTAAATTTTATAAAATAAGATGATTTTGACCATGATTCCAGCGGATCCACGTAGAAACTGCCGATTTTGAAATTTTTATAAAAAAATAAAAACACCACTTCAACGTCAAAATTGAAAAACAAAATGTGGAGTGAAATGTACCATTTTTACTTAATACTAATTTGTCTCTCTTTTTTGGTGTTATATATTTAATTCTATTGCATACTCCTGTATGTGTGATTCATGAATCCGTGTCGAGTTTTCACCCTACACATCGAGATTTTTGGGAAAGAATTCAAAATTGTGTTTTACAATTTAACTTGAGAATTGCAAAAGCGAATGAAGTGAAATTTTACAAACGTTTTAAGGTTACCTATAAGAAAGATGATAAATCGTTAATCAAAATTTGTTCGTTTAAAGCCTTCCCAAAAAATTACGACGTCATCTTAGAATTCTGACGAACAAATGTTCTTTAAATTTTATAAAATAGCATATTGCTGTATGTGTGATTTATGAATCCGTCTTGAGTTGTTACACTTAGCATCCAGATTTTTGAAAAAAAAAACAAGATTGTGGAACAATATTTGACAACGTATAACTTGAAATTGCAAAAACCGAACGCTGTGAAATCGTGCACATTTTTTAAGAATATTTGAAACATGGTAAATCATTAATCAAAATTTGTTCGTCATCTCATATTTTGCCGAATTTCCTCAAATTTATTAGTGTTTTTGGGAAAAAAACTGAGTATGTATTAATCAATCAGTTCTTTCCTCTTCGTTGAGGACACAAAATCAACCAAATTTAATTTTCTTTTAATTTGTGATGTTTGTGCTAGTAGTAGAGTTCGGTCGAAGTATAAACATAAACAGTCGAAGTTAAGCATATACTGAGAAATTGAAATTGTCTACATTTTCCCATTAGTAAGTGCTAAGATAAAACTGATTTTGGTACATGACATATCCTCCAAGAAAAGACAGGGTGGTTGGGCGGGGCTAGCAATTGCTAAGATAAGAGTGATTTTGGCAAATGAGATACCCTCTAAGAAAAGAGAGGGCGGGTGGGTGGGGCTAGTACCTGCTAAGATAAAACTGATTTTAGCAAATGACGTATCCTCTAAGAAATTTAATTAAATCGTTATAAGAAAAGACACTAGAGGCTCCAAAGTACTTTCAAATTCTTTCCAAACAGGAATACCTAGAACTTCAAGATTGTTTTAAATTTTCAAAAAAGGGGGTTCCAAAATTAATTCAAAAATTGGTAAGTCAGAATTTTCCAAAAATAGAACACCAAAGTCCTCCAAAATTGTTTTAAATAATTTACAAAAAAATCTCTATAGGCTTCCAAAATAATACACCATGGGTACCCGAATTAAAAAAAAAACGTCACTCAAGACATTTTCAAATTCGTAAAAAATAAAACAGTACTCTTATTTTGAGGTTTATATTAACAGGTATTACCCCCGCCCACCCACCCTTTCTTTTTTTAGAAGATATCACATTTGCCAAAATCACTTTTTTCTTAGCAGGAACTAGCTCCGCCCACCCGCCCTCTATTTTCTTAGCTAGAACCTGTTCAGACTGATTTTCGCGGTCCCCTAAAATTGTTTTAAATAATTAAAGAGTCTTCCGAATTAAAAAAAAAGAGGCACTCAAGACTTTTTCAAATTAGTAAAAAGTAAAAATAAAACAGTACTCTTATTTTGAGTTTTATATTAGCAGGTACTAGCCCCGCCCACCCACCCTCTCTTTTCTTAGAGGATATCTCATTTGCCAAAATCACTCTTTTCTTATCAGGAACTAGCCCCACCCACCCACCCGTTCTTTTCTTAGGGGATATGTCATTTACCAAAATCACTCTTTCCTTAGCAGGAATTATCCCCGCCCACCCACCCTTTCTCTTTTCAGAAGATATCACATTTGCCAAAATCTGAACCTGCTAAGACTGATTTTGGCAAATGACGTATCCTCTAAGAAATTTAATTAAATCATGATAAGAAAAGACACTAGAGGCTCCAAAGCACTTTCAAATTCTTTCCAAACAGAAATACCTGGAACCTCAAGATTGTTTTAAATTTTCAAAAAAAAGGGGTTCCAAAATTAACTCAAAAACAAGTAAGTCAAAATTTTCTAAAAATAGAGCACCAAAGTCCCCCAAAATTATTTTAAATAATTTACAAAAAAAATCTCTATGGGCTCCCAAAATAGTACCCAAGAGTCTCCCGAATTAAAAAAAACGGCACTCGAAACTTTTTCAAATTCGTAAAAAATAAAACAGTACCTACTCTGATTTTGAGTTTTATCTTAGCAGGTATTAGCCCCGCCCACCCGCCCTCTCTTTTCTTAGAGGATATTTCATTTGCCAAAATCACTCTTTTCTTACCAGGAACTAGCAACGCCCACCCACCCTTTCTTTTCTTAGGGGATATGTCATTTGCCAAAATCACCATTTTCTTAGCAGAAACTAGCCCCGCCCACCCGCCCTCTATTTTCTTAGCGGGTATGTCGTTTGCCAAAATCGATCCTATTTGAGCAAATAAGATTCTTCTGAAAAAATAGAGGACGGGTGGGCGTGGTTAGTACCTGCTAAAATAAGATAGATTTTGGCAAATAACATACCCTATAGGAAAAGAGAAGGTGGGTGGGCGGGACTAGTTTCTTCTGAGATGAGAGTGATTTTGGCAGATGATATATCTTCTAAGAAAAGAGAGGCTGGGTGGGCGGGGCTAATTCCTTCTGAGAGGAGCGTAATTTTGGCAGATGAGATAACCTCCAAGAAAAGAGAGGGTGGGTGGACGGGGCTAGTACCTGCCAAGATGAGACTGATTTTAGCAAATAATGTATCCTCTAAGAAATTTAATTAAATTATTATAAGAAAATGCACTAGTAGAGGCTCCAAAGCAGTTTCAAATTCTTTCCAAACTCCTGAATACCTGGAACCTCAAGATTGTTTTAAATTTTCAAAAAAAAGGGGGTCCCAAAATTAAGTCAAAAACAAGTAAGTCAGAATTTTTCAAAAATAGAACACCAAAGTCCCCCAAAATTATTTTAAATAATTTACAAAAAAAATCTCTATGGGCTCCCAAAATAGTACCCAAGAGTCTTCCGAATTAAAAAAAAAGCGGCACTCAAAACTTTTTCAAATTCGTAAAAAATAAAACAGTACCTACTCTGATTTTGAGTTTTATCTTAGCAGGTATTAGCCCCGTCCACCCGCCCTCTCTTTTCTTTGAGGATATTTCATTTGCCAAAATCACTCTTTTCTTAGCAGGAACTAGCCCCGCCCACCCACCCTTTCTTTTCTTAGGGGATATGTCATTTGCCAAAATCACTCTTTTCTTAGCAGGATATAGCCCCGCCCACCCACCCTTTCTTTTCTTAGGGGATATGTCATTTGCCAAAATCAGTCTTTTCTTAGCAGGAGCTAGCCCCGCCCACCCACCCTTTCTTTTCTTAGCGGGTATGTCGTTTGCCAAAATCGACCCTATTTGAGCAGGTACTTGTAGCTGCCAAAATAAGACTGATTTTGGCAAATAAGATTCTCCTGCAAAAAATAAAGGACGGGTGGGCGTGGTTAATACCTGCTAAAATAAGATAGGTTTTAGCAAATGACATACCCTCTAGGAAAAGAGAGGGTGGGTGGGCGGGACTAGTTCCTTCTGAGATGAGAGTGATTTTGGCAGATGAGATAACCCCTAAGGAAAGAGAGGGTGGGTGGGCGGGGCTAATTCCTTCTGAGATGAGAGTGATTTTGGCAGATGAGATAACCTCTAAGAAAAGAGAAGGTGGGTGGGTTTAATTAAATTATTATAAGAAAAGACACTAGAGGCTCCAAAGCACTTTCAAATTCTTTCGAAACAGGAATACCTGGAACCTCAAGATTGTTTTAAATTTTCAAAAAAAGGGGTTCCAAAATTAACTCAAAAACAAGTAAGTCAAAATTTTCCAAAAATAGAGCACCAAAGTCCCCCAAAATTATTTTAAATAATTTACAAAAAAAATCTCTGTGGGCTCCCAAAATAGTACCCAAGAGTCTCCCGAATTAAAAAAAAAGCGGCACTCGAAACTTTTTCAAATTCGTAAAAAATGAAACAGTACCTACTCTGATTTTGAGTTTTATCTTAGCAGGTATTAGCCCCGCTCACCCGCTCTCTCTTTTCTTA